TGGCCGACATGGCCGTGAGGATTGAGCAGGGGCGTGAGCAAGGAGGGGCTGCGAAATTCACCCCATCTCCTACAGCCGCCGATCACGCTCTGCATCACCTCGCAGGGGCTTTCCCCCTCCGCTGACGTTTTGGTCACACCAATCAATCTCTTAGCCACGATGCCCACTTTTTAGGTGACAACATGAAACGCGGTGACATTACCGTCCACCCCAACCCCTCCATCCGCCCCAGGGCATCGGGACAGGGATACCTGCTTGTGGATCTCCGCCTTGGGCACCTGGTGGAGGTTCTCCAGATGCGAGTGGAAGAGGTTGCTCCGGATGAGCTTCACCCCCAGCACGGACTCGATGATGTAGCCGATGGTGCAGTCGTCAGGCAGGCGGATCTTCTCCGCGGTGCTCATGAAGTGGCCCCCGCTGCGGGGAGACAGAGAGGAGCTGCAGAGGAGCAAAGCCCAGGAGGACGAGGCCACCCCATGGGGTCTGGGCTTGGCTAATGTGTGCCCAGCTCTAATTAAAAGTCAATTAGGGGGAACCAAGGTCCTTCCCAGCTTGTTTCCATGTCCCCTGCAGAAACACCCAGCAAGACAAAGAGCGCAAGGTGGTAGGACACGGTTGAATGTTCATCCCCAAAGATGCTGTTGCCACTCTGGGCCCGACTGGGACCACGACGAGTCCCCACCGGAGAGCAACGCCAACGCTCTTACCTGGCCCACGGGCTCATCTTCAGCGCCAGCCCCCGGCTGATACAAAACCCCGCTCCACCCGTGGCAAACCAGAAATGCACAGGGTGCTGCAAGAGAGGGGAAGCAACGGCAGTGAGACCTCCTCCCGCCGACCGGGGAGCGAACCCCAGCCCAAACGCAGCCAGCCCCAACCTCGCACCCCTCCCTCACCATCTTGTTCTCGCTGATTCTCTCCGTAGCCTGGATGGGCCGGTCCAGGCTGGGCTTCCCGATGTAGATGTCCTGCGTGTGGGGGTAGCTGGAGAGCAGCTTCACCAGCGTCCGCACATTCACGTAGTTGTCATCGTCCACATGGCAGAACCACCTGCGGCGGCAGCAGTGTCACGCCGGGCCAGGGCAAATCCCCCGACCCCACGCTGAGATGTGGCCCCAAAAATGCCAACGGCCTGCGCCCACACCGTGTGTCGTGCCCCCCA